AAATAGATATAAAATCAAACAATTGTCAACAAAACTTGGCAATTTCACTAAAGTATTGCCCAGCAAACAGTAAAAAAACGAGATACAGCGATCTTGAATACCCCTTATAACTTCAACTAAGAACAATTAAAAAAGTTGTAATATATACATATATATAGTGTTTTTTCTTTAGTGGTATAAAGTTAACAAAGAAAATAATGAAATTAATATCATATTTAAATTATAGCTTATTTTGCGCGAGTCAACAAAAAAATTTTAACCGAGAAAACAAAAAGTAATTTATTTGGTTTAGATACACTTTTAAAAATGATTAATCAATAAAGAATATAGAAAAAAAATTGTTTCAAGTGTAGCTGTAATATTATTATTGTTTCAAGTGTGCTTCGCTGTAGCTGTAATATTATTTTACTTATATTTATTAAAAGTTGCACCTGTAATTAGCAATAGGTGCAATTGTTTGAGACAACATTTTCAAAATAAATCCATGCTTATCCATCATACCTTCGCATGCAGTTTTTGTTGAGTTTGTATAGAGTTTGTGTAGTTAAATTCTACACCCTACACGTTTACCGAGATAAGTCCGAAAATGAGTTATAGGTATATGAATGAGATAGGCTTAGGTCGGAATAGATAGGCACGCTTTCGTCGATCGGAATAGAAACACATGATATACCTATTTATATATGTATATATATATATACAATATTATGATAATTACGATATATATATGTTATATATTCTTTATAGACAGTAGACATTGAAAAAGTATGATCGAATTCTGGATTAAACTGCATTAGCTACAACTGTTGAAAACAAAATTAAAAGAATATATTTCTTAAATAATATGTAAGATTAAGTTATGGCCATTGATTACTTTATGAAATATAATTCCACTACAGTATGAGTAGTTAACAATTGTAGAGGGCGATTGCGTGTGTTTACCATTACATTATCGGAAAGGATTAATATTGAATTACTAAATTAAATATTATTATAAAATCATTATATTGATATTATATTATGCTTATATTTAAATATGTATATGGAAACTGATTAAAATATATTCTTTTATAATGTAATAATTTTTGGTTTAATTTAAAAATAATCAAATATTTTTACAAGATTATTTTTAATTTTCATTAGGTTTTGTGTCTGTAAATAATTTACATTCACATATACAGACTACATATAATATAAATACTATATCTGTTTCTTAAAAGTTTTTGTTTAAAAAAATTCTTTTTTAAAAGTTGAAATGAATTAATAAAATGATAAAAATTATATTTTTAAACTTAAAATAAATTATTTATTAATTTATTTTGGTGAATACATAGCAATTAGTTACATTTTACAATTAAAATTAACTTTAATATTAACTCACAAATTAAATATTAAAAAACAATTATAAAACTTTTTAATTGCCTTTAATAAAAGCAACATGCGTCGAAAGATTTTAATGTAAAAATTACGATATCATTTATTTTTTCTAAGAATTTAATATTGGAGCAAATAACCTGAGCATTAACACGCTAAAACATATTAAGGTACAAGATAAAGGTCCTACATGCGCAAATGTAAACGTTGGCTCATCCTGTATGCGCAAAACGCTTTTGCAAATATTGTGGTGAAAAGGTGAATTTACTTCGACTTACGAATATTAAAATTAAAGGGAGTTGAAATAAAGGTACATCTTCCTTTGCATTCAAAAAATACAAGTGCAAGAAGTATTATTTATAAAATAACTTATTTATATATTAAATTTAATTCATAATTTGTAAATTTATTTTATTGCAAGCGTTTTAATTACATTTTGTTACAATAAGGATGTGAAGAAAGAACACTAGTATGACGTGCATTGATTCATTTCATTTTCATTTTAGTACTTCGAAAGTAAAAAGTATAAAATAATTTAAAAAAATAAAATGATGTAAATGAGTTGAGCAATATTTTCACTTTGAAAATCTATTTTATATGTCAACAACAATTAATATTAACATTAATATTATTGTGACTAGGAGACGCATTCCAGTAAGTATTTTCTATCATATCAAAAACAAATTATTATTTTATTTATCAAAACTTTATTAAAATGTGGATTTGATGCAGTAAGTGGATTCAAAGTTTTTTAAATAATATTAAAATGCTTTTCCAAACTCCTTTTATAATTAAAATATTTTATAATTTTTATTAAAAATTATTTTTTTATATTAAATATTTACATGGAAGATAAATCTTACTTTTTTTTTATTAAGGTACAAAATGTTTTAAGGGGAAAAAGAATTTTATAGTCAAAGTTTATAAAATTCTTTAAATTTTTATTAGAAATGAATTTCAAGTTTATAATAGTTTATAATAATGTTATAATAATAGGAACAGAAAAATCACGGTGTTTGAAGAATATTTTATTCTTTGGCGGTGCTACTTTTGATAACATTAGAATACTAGATATAACAGTTTAGTAATATTAAAATTTTATATTAAATCTAGAAGTAAATTCGCATGCAGCTTTTTGACATTATCAATAGGTAATAAATTACAAAAAATGTAATAAATACATTTATTTTGATGGCTAGTCCTACATATGTAATTCTATAAATATAAAAATGAATGTTTGACTGTCTGTACTCGATGAATTCAAAAACCATATATCCCTGGAAAGGTTTTTGCAAATTTTTATTAAAATCAGAGTTCGGGTTCTATGTATATAATAGATATATGAACATATAATATTTTGGTAAAAGTGTGTTCTGTAATATAATTTCCAATATCATTTAAAGCAATCTAGCAATTCTAGATTGTTAGATTGTGAGAACTCAGTTTGGTTTTTACATTAGTGCAGTGTGTTTTAATTTAGTTTTGAGTAAATACTTATATTAAGTGAAATAGAATAATTTATTTAATTTAATTTATTAAGATCAGAGGGAAATACGTTTTATTTAACACCACAATTATGCCATCAAAGCGAAGTGCCATTGGTCGATACAAATCAAACAAAAAGGAGAAGAGAAAAACGAGCTTCAGAAACAAGTGACCAGACAAAAACTAGGCAAGAAAGAGATAGAGTTCTCATTGCTCTTGCTCGATCATTAGAAACGAGTGAGTGACACGAAGTTCGCCGGGTCAGCTATTTATAATATATAACAGTTTGCAGTAGTTATCAAACTGGTTTATTTATTTATTTAAAATAAAGACAAACTAAGATGTGGATAAATAGATTTAATATTGTTAGAAACCCAAAATGGAATTTATTGTAAATATATCCATAGTACCACCTACATATGCCGGCCATGTGCCGTTAATTCATATATTCAATTTCTTCTTTGATTACACAAATGATTAGTAACATGTAGTGGTTTTTAAACAGATTTTTTCCATTTTGAGTTCTGATATCGCATGAATTAACTGATTTTGCTAATATTAAACAAATTAATAATATTATAATAATACTTAATAGATTAACAAACAATTTTTGTCCTTGTCTTTTCTTTGTTATTCGAATCCCTCTAAATTTAAAAAAAAAACAAGCTTCTTTGTAATTATAAGAAAGCATAGCTTTTTCGGAAAAACTAATTGAATTTAATAATACTTAATATTATTAATAATTAAAAATATTAATATTAATTATTAAAACGAATTGCTCAAAATAGCTGCTATTATTAATATCCGTTGTTAATTTGGCGTAGACGGAAAATCGAAATCGTGTTAAAATCGCTTGGTATTGGTGTTATTTTTTTAAAATAATATTTAATACTCAAATATTGTTAAGATTGTTATTTTTTTAAATAATAGTTAATACTCAAATATTGTTAAAACTCAACATGTTTTGTGTATTCAGTATACAAAACCATCTGTATTCTCAGGCGGAGAAGGAGTGAGCAGAATTTCTATGATAAAAATATTTATCTATTTATTCGTAGCAACTTTAATAAAGACAAAAAATTTGTATTTCTTAAAATAAACAGTTTTTTAATAAACTTTTAAAACCGTAATTTTTGAACTGTTACCCATTATTGACAGATACTAAATGTCTAGGAAAAAACAAGCACGTTACAGCAACCTCAAATTCACCTAAAACTGCTGAAAAATCAAAAAATAGAATTTGGTATCGCACTCTATTGTAGAAATTACAGCCTAACGACTCTTATTTGTTTATTTAATAAAAAGCTCAGTATTTTACCAAAAAAAATTTGATATTAACACAGGATCTTAAATATGATTTTTGCAGTTATCTATGACGAAAGAAACTGTTCTAATAGTAGAAATTGTTATTTTAATAGAGAAGTTTTCGAGCAGTACTGAATTGCAACAATAAAATTATTAAATTTTTTTTATAGAGTTTTTGAATGACCATATAGCTGTTTCGAGTATTGTCGCTACCATAAGAATAGAACTGAAATTCAAGAGTTAAAAATAACTATATTTAATTAATACAATTATTCTATATAGAACTTTAAACTGATTGAAACAGCTGAGTTGTATAGTTTTTAATGATAAGAGTAGAACAAGTTATTTTAAGTTTTTTATTTATTTGAGGTTATTTAGAGTTTAAAACAATATTGTTTTCAGCGTTTTATTATATATATGTTATGCTATATGACTAAGAGGAAAATTATAGGAGACAGTCATCCTACTAAACAAAATTTTTCTAACCTAAAAATGCATTGAATCTAATCGTCAAACCTTTAATGATATTGTAGTACTGTTTCCGGTGTTCATAAATAAATTTTATATTTTTTTTATCTTAACTAATTATTAGTTAAAAATATTTGAAAATCGGTGATTTTCGTTAAACACATTTTTTCTACAGAATCATTTGTCTCACATTTGGCATGTACACACATTTCTATGTACTTACACAGCGGAGGATACATAAATCTTCGTACATAGGTAATTTTCTCCAGCAAAGCCTAGTACTGTAAATTGTTATACATAACTTGAAAAAATGTTACGTCTGCAAAAGTTGAGGAAATTTTTTAACTAAAATCCAGATAACAGCTTACCAATTGAGGTTTTGGAATATTTCGTTATGATGTGAAATTGTTGATTAAATGTAAATTGTTGCACTTAATTCACTTGTTCATTTGCAAACATTTAACAAACATATTTGCCTTCACGTTTTTCACGATTTGCTTGCAATGCTCCCGAAACCAATTTTTGATTTTTTATTTTTATATTTTAATTGAGAAAAATTAAGAACTCTAATTATTGAAATTAGTTATTGCCTTTTTATTATATTTTTTGTTAATTAACTGCACTGTTTTTGCAAATATTTTTACATTTGCAAAGTTGAAATTTTGTGTTCTACGACAGACAGATGACAAACTGAGCAATTTTTACTACAGAAAAGTATCGCTCGAGTTTATGTGGAACTGCGCAGGTCCTTCAAATGTCAGAATTTTTGCAAAATTATTTGCAAATACCGCTATTCACATATCACGGTTCGCAGCTATGTTTATTGTACGTTTGTTAAATATAACAGAAGCCCAAAAGTATTCTTTATTAAATCTATTTATATCAACGAGATTTTCATTGCCTATTTTAAGGCGTTAGTATTATCACATCCAGCAATGGTATATCTATACCATGCGTGTCATATGTGTGGAAAATTTGTGTGGCACGCGCGCTATTGTTTTTATTTAGTATATACGGACGTACAGCACGTATGGTCGAAAATATAAGGATCGTTTTTTTGTTTTTTTTTATTACTTTCTAAAAGAACTTTTAGTCAAATCAAAATCTTAGCAGTCAAAAATTAGACAAGAAAATTTTAATGTTTGGCACGCGCTCCTAAAAAGATACCGTTCGTTTACACAGACATTTTCTACATGAATTTTATTAGTGCTGTCAACTGGCACTTTTTTCTTATAATGTTAATATTTTTATTTTTCTATTAATTTATTTATTTTGTTTATTTTGCACTAAATAATCATTTCTTTTGTCAAGTAACAGTTTGGCTTTTTCCAAAGTTTTTTCACTTTCCCCTTGTCTTTTTTGTGTTTATTATTATTAGGTGGCACTTTGCCTGTTGTACATTTCATTACGATATATATACGAGTATTTAAACTTAGTTGAGCACTAACTGCATGTGTGAGCAAAGTGAAGGAGTTTGCTTAGTTTATTTCACATCACTAAAATGTGCAAATACAGATAGTGTATATTTTTCATGCAATCAAGTCAAAACCGTGCGTATTCGACACTATTTACATATGTCCCTTTTTCATTTGTTTCAAATTTAAAAAAAAAACTTTAATTAAACATCACTGTTGCGGTATTTCTATTACATATTAGTCATTTTCCAAAAAGTACGTGCGCATAATATGTCATACAGCGACATAACGAATGTCATACAGCGACATATTGTGTATGTAATGCACTTCCGAGGGTTCCTTGAGGTTTTTATTGTCCCAGATATAGATAGAGATGTAGGATTTTTAAAAAATATATGTTTGTAGTAAGACACTTTATTGGCAGGATCAATAAGGTAGATTCAGATATCAAAATTTCATTTGTTTGGAACGAATAGAATATTGCATAGTATAAAGTAAAGTTCTCGGTGTAAGTCTGTTGGGTGGCTTCTCGGTTTACAAAACCAGTTTGCATTTCTCTAAGAAATTTAAATGACTTTAGAACATTTTCACAATTTTTTTTTTGCGGTGAAGATTTACATATAACTTGGCACAATGGTCCGAAGACACTAAATGAGAGTGTCTATCGATAATCACGGCCATTCAAAATGCCACAAACAGTGGGCTGGTTATTTGAATGTCAAAATTTTTATATGACTTTTTATTATAATGTGTAATGCTTCAATACATAAAGGATTTGTTGAGGGGCACTAATAGAAGTACTTTATTAAATTAAACATATATAAACTAAACTGATCAAAATTTGAATTTAGTTGCGATATAAGCAGATGACTTAGATACACATTTTCTGAAAGTTAATGCAAACGTCTCAAAATTTTCACTGATATTTTTATTTTAATATTAAATTTTTCTTTTTGATATAATTTATTTTTGTACACATAAAACCTTTTTTTATATTTATATTAAAAAAACAATTTTTTTGTTCCAATTTTCAGATACATTATTTAATTATTTAAATAATATAAGAAAAAATGTTAACATAACATATAAAATGAGTGAATTTCAGAGCGTGTGAATAATATTTGTTTTATTTTGTCGCTGTATCCGTTAGAAATAAAAAAAATTATTTATTAATTTTTATCTTTTATTAGTCTAAAAATAATAATTAATTTCAAATGTCGAAATTGTAGATTCTGTAGACTTATATATATGTATGTTATATGTATGTTCTTCAGTGACTCGTGTTAGCAAGAGTCGACTGAAACTGTCTAGATGCGACAGAAATTGCAACTCTACAATTAAAAGTTTTAATTTATATCAACCAATATCAGATAATTTATTTATTATTATGGATAGGTTATGCATGTAGTGTGACCTGAAAGATCTTTTCTGCAGAGATAATATTATTAAAGCAAAGTCTATCTAGAAAAAACTTATAATTACTAAGCAATAATCAATTTGTGTCTAAAATACTTTTATATGAAATGTAAAACAGAAAAGTTTATGTTTATAATAAGTTTTATCAAAAAAAAACCTATTTCATATATCTTTTGTATACATTTTTAAATCTTAGCAATGACTAACTTTTCCAGCCGTATTTTTATAACACACTAAAAAAGTTTTACAAAACTTTTTTTACAAAATTAAGTTTTATAAATATCTACAACCCAATTAACTCTAAAATGATGTATCTTGATTAATATTATTATAGCTCCAAGTTCATTGCATCCTGAAAGTTCTATTATGTATCTCAGTAAATTAATTAAAAACTTAAATGCCTTTTATGAAATGTAGATCCTCTTCTAATTTACTATTTCATATCTTCAGTAAAAAAGAGTGTGTACTTCTAGCTGATCTAAGTTCTTTATACTCTTTATGATTTTTTTTAAAGGACAGACTTTTTTTTATTCTAATTGTTCGTCTTCTGTGATGTAGCAAAGCGAATGTAAATCCTGTATATAGGTTTCAACCTAAACAATATCTGGTGCCTAGGCCAAACCTTGTTTTATTGTAAAGTTTTAAAAATATTATTTTTCTGAAAATAAAACAGTTTCTTCTATTTAATAGTAAGAGAATATTTCTCTCATAAGAAGTGGGAGTATCTGCAGTAGATATGTGCAGTAGATAATATTTTATTTTCAGTTATATATAAATACCAACTGTAGGGTATTCTAAATTAAGATTTGTTAAGAAAATCCGAATATTTTTGGGAAGTATTTATCTATTCAGGTCAATAACCTTAATTTTTGCTAAGTGAATTTATTTGAACTGTTAGATGTGTTGATTTTCAAATAGCTTTATCGTATCAAATATATATATATATAGCTATATGCTTTGGAAAAATGTAAATCAAATAATTCAGCTATATAAGGACCTAACTTTGCAATAACATTTGCAATTTAAGTGTTTAACTAAGTGAAGATGATTGTGAATTATAGAAGTTTTATTTTACTGCAATTTTTTGCGTTTGCAGTTAGCACTTATAAAGAAATCTGTCAGGAGTCATGTGATCAGGAACACAGTAAGCAAGATAGTCCTGTATGCGGTGAATGCATCGATAATAGAGAAGTTACCTTCAAAAGTTCATGTCATCTATTTTGTGATTATGGTAATATGAAATCAGATAAGATATTTGAACAATTATATGAATTTTATAATTGGAATATTCTAGATTGTTATTTAGTATCTTCTGGCGCTTGTCCATCGCATAACACTGAAACTAGCACAGCACTTATAACAAGTGCTCCTCCTCGGAATTGTGATGATGAATGTCGTAGTGTAGCCGTAAGTGTACCAGTTTGTGGAAATTGCAATGGACATTTGAAAATGTTTAATAATATGTGTTTATTAAATTGTAATGAAGAAAGTGAGTATGTTTAATATTGATTAAAGGTGAAAAGCTTTTGTTAGTCGCAAATTCTTTGTAATACTAACTACAATGTATATTGTATAGATTGCGTATATAAGTCATATGGACATTGTACACCATCTACAACCACAACACCAGAACACCCGATTAAAACTACAACCACAACACCAGAACACCCGATTACAACTACAACCACAACACCAGAACATCCGATTACAACTACAACCACAACACCAGAACATCCGATTACAACTACAACCACAACTACAAAACATCCGATTACAACTACAACTACAACAACAAAAGCACCTACAACAACGACCACAATAAAAACTACAACAACAACCAAGCATCCAGCATGTACTAGAGAATGTCCTACTGAAATAAATCAAGTTTGTGGTTTGTGTGATGGTAAAGTACGTAGAACCTTCAGGAATATATGCTTTCTTCGTAAGCAAAACTGTGATGTACCAAGTAAATATTTGAATTTCGATTATTGTTAGAAGTTGTTAGAAGTATCTAATTTATTTTGATTGATGTCTATATTAGCCTGTGTATTTCAATCTAACGGTCCTTGTATTACAACAACTCCTAATCCTTGTGCTAGAAATTGTTCGGACGTTCATAACCCAGTTTGTGCTCATTGTCCTGGCAAACGTATTAATTTCAGAAATATGTGTTATTATAATAAATGGAATTGCCCTGACCAAGGTGATATGACTTCAAAGATAATTTTTTAGAAAAGTTTTAAAAAATTGTGATTCTTTGAACATTTTTAGGATGTACCGGAGTCACTGTAGGTGTCTGCAATCCCTGTGTAAAACCATGCCCAGCTACTGGAGAACCAGTGTGTGCTAAGTGTAATGGACAGTTAATGTTGTTCGATAATTCATGTAAATATGATATGAAGAATTGTGAACTGAACAATGGTAAGAAATCAGAAATTTCACTTTTCTATATCTAATTTAATGTTTAATTTACTCATTTCTCACAACTTTTCATTTTCAGGTTGTTATGTTAAACTTAACATTTTCTGTAAATTTTTAAAATAAAATTTTAATAAATTTTACTGTTATAAATAAAATAAAACGAAAAACAAATTGTATTTTTTTTTGTGCTGGTTAAAAATTATTCCACGTTGTACATATTTTCGACTACCATCTGAAATTTCTATTATTGTAGAATTTTTAGGTTTTCTAATAGTTTGGAACTATTCATAGTTCTCTTTGTGTTAATCAATTTTACGGTCTATTTTATTATATCTGCTTACACTTCATTCTTCTGGAAATCAATCCATTTTTTCATGGACTTTTTTGAGAATAGACTCCCCACACCAAAAAATATTTTTCACAAATAAAGTTTCAGAACAAAATAAATAAAATATGTTTTTTGATAACTACTTGTAATAATCAATTGATCTCCCACCTATCAAGCAAAACCCTTGCGTCCAACCCAATATATGAAAATTTATCTTATAAAAATTAAACCATTTTGGCATTTGTTTAATTTTAAGTTCTCAGCGAAGTGAAATCTACTGGAGTGGTCTTGTTTAACATCGCTGAATCGTTCGATAAGGTGTTACATAACAGATTGATCATCGAACTATATAATTATGATATTCCATAAGTCTTTAAGCAAACTTTCTATCAAATAGAAAGTTCTTGGTTACAGTTCAAAACCACTTTTCCTCTGTAAAGAAAATTGAAGCGGGCGTCCCTCAAGGATCCCCATTATTTCCTTTATTGTATTATTATTGTATTGTATTATTTATTGCATTATTTATATATATACAGCAGGTTTTACTTTGGAATTTATGAACACAATTTCGATTTTTGCTGACGACTTCTGAATTATAAGTGCTGACAAAAATGCTAATTCTATTTCAAACAATTTATTATTTTATATTGATAAAATAATGAGTTACTTTCGCAGGTGGAGAATTGTGGTAAATGCTGAAAAGATGAAGCCTACGATCATTGGAAGACGTACAAATCAAAATGCAAGGAAAAAGTCAATAATGTGGAAATAGAATAGGAATACAATGTTAAACTCTTAGGTCTAACTTTTCAATGCACTAAAACCTTTAACACAAGAAAAGTTGAGTAAATAAAATGCTTTATAAGCAAATAATTAGACCTAAACTATTTTATGACTGTGTTAAGTATGGCAATGCTACTCCATCTACCATTAGAAAACTCTGAACTTATCAGAATATATGTAGATATGCTAAAAGCTCATGGTACATGAGAAAGACTTGAGAGTCAAGAGTCATATTGATATAATATTAAACTTTTATATATAAATTAATATTCAATTTATTTCATATGTTATTTTATTAACGAATTGCTAAATATTATATTGTGAATATATTATTGCCTAATGTAATATAGTTATTATTAATAAAAAATCATATCTCTTTCAATTTATCATTTCTGATTTAAACTGTACATATAAAAACAACATCATTGTAGAAGGGCCGCACACCCTTCCAGATAGGGCACGCCCCGTCACAGTCACAGACACTATTGAGTAAAAGTGTTTTAGATACTAACTCGCGTTTGATCAAGCAAAGAAGAGAAAAAAATAAATTAAATACAATTACTTAGTTTATCTGGATAGCTATGGATTTTAATCAATCTATTTAATATCAGATAATATATCTGATGTGAATTTCTTTGTGTAAAATGTCATTTATTTGACGATAAAACTTAAATACTAGTTGAAAGATATATAAATTTTCCAATGATATTTATATAGTTGTGGACACTTCTTTTACATTTCAATATAATGTATCCTTATCTCTATAAAATCCTTTCGTTATATAGATAAAAGTCCTTTCTTTATATAGATAAAAAAACCTTTCTTTATGTAGATAAAATAATTACATACATTCCTTTTTAAGTTTCTATATTAAAATACTTGTAGTCTTTTAAATAATATATGAAATAATATTAACATAACATATAAAATGATTGAATTTAAGAGCATGTGAATAATATTTGTTTTATTTTGTCGACGTATCCGTTAGAAATAAAATTAAAAAAAAAATTAATTTTTATCTTTTATTAGTCTAAAAATAACAATTAATTTCAAATATCGAAATTGTAGATTTTGTAGACTTATATGTATGTTCTCCAGTGACTCGTGTTAGCTAGAGTTTACTGAAGCTATCTAGATAGGACAGAAATTGGAGTTCTACCATTAAAAGTTGTAATTTAAATTAGCCATTTCATATAATTTTGTGGAGCAGAGTCTATTTAAAAAAAAAAACAAGCACAGATTAATTTGGATTTAAAATGCCAATGTAAATGTTCATAGATTTAGTGGAAAAGTTTTTTCAAGAGAACCGTATTTTGTATATATATTATTTAAAAATCTAAACAATGGCTAGGCATGCTAACATACTGTAAAAGCTTAAATAAGTTTAAAAAAAGTAAGTTCCACACAAATATAGAACTCTGGAGTGAGTATATGTTATTATCAGGGCTTCGAACCGGAATTTTTTCCGTTCTGGTTTTCGACCCTGTTCAAAACAAAAAAATAACAATTCGGTTCCGGTTTTCGCTTCGATAAATATATCCGTTTTTTTCGGTTTTTTGTTCCGTTCCGGTTCGAAGCCTTTGGTTATTATAGAACGAAGCCTTGGTTTTTATATATAAAAATGGCAACTGTAGGGTACTCTAAATTAAAATTTGTTAAGAAAATCCAAGTAATTTGGGAAGTATTTGTCTATTCAGGTCAAGAACCTATATTTTTGTAGAGTAAATGTATTTGAACAGTTAGAACTGTTGATTTTCAAATAACTTTATCATGTCAAATATACATATAGCTATATGCTTCAGAAATATGTAAATTAAATGTATTCAGCTATATAAGTACCTAACTTGACAATAACGTTTTCAATTTAAATGTTTAATTAAGTGAAGATGATTGCGAATTATAGATGTTTTATTTTACTGCAATTTTTTGCATTTGTAATTGGCACTTATATAAAAACTTGTCAGGACTCATGTGATCAGGAACACAGTAAGCAAGATAGACCTGTATGCGGTGAATGCATCGATAATAGAGAAGTTACCTTCAGAAGTTCATGTCATCTATTTTGTGATTATGGTAATATGAAATCAGATAAGATATTTGAACAATTATATGAATTTTATAATTGGAATATTCTAGATTGTTATTTAGTATCTTCTGGCGCTTGTCCATCGCATAACACTGAAACTAGCACAGCACTTATAACAAGTGCTACTCCTCGAAGTTGTGACGATGAATGTCGCAGTGTAGCCGTAAGTGTACCAGTTTGTGGAAATTGCAATGGACATTTGAAAATGTTTAATAATATGTGTTTATTAAATTGTAATGAAGAAAGTGAGTATATTTGATATTAATTAAAAGTGAAAAATTTTTGTTAGTCGCAAATTCTTTGTAATACTAACTACAATGTATATTGTATAGATTGCGTATATAAGTCATATGGACATTGTACACCATCTACAACCATTACAACAAAACAACCGACTATAACTACAACAACAAAAGAACCAACTACAACCACAACAACAAAACATCCGACTACAACCACAACAACAAAACATCCGACTACAACTACAACAACAAAAGAGCCAACTACAACCACAACAACAAAACACCCGACTACAACAACAACAACAACAAAACATCCAACTACAACCACAACAACAAAACAACCGACTACAACTACAACAACAAAAGAGCCAACTACAACCACAACAACAAAACAACCGACTACAACCACAACAACGAAAGAGCCAACTACAACCACAACAACAAAACAACCCACTACGACTACAACAACAAAAGAGCCAACTACAACCACAACAACAAAACAACCGACTACAACCACAACAACGAAAGAGCCAACTACAACCACAACAACAAAACAACCGACAACGACTACAACAACGAAAGAGCCAACTACAACCACAACAACAAAACAACCGACTACAACCACAACAACGAAAGAGCCAACTACAACCACAACAACAAAACAACCGACAACGACTACAACAACGAAACAACCGACAACGACTACAACAACAAAACAACCGACTACAACCACAACAACAAAACAACCAACTACAACCACCACAACAAAAAAATCGACAACAACCACAAAGAAAACCACAACAACAACCAAGCATCCAGCATGTACTAGAGAATGTCCTACTGAAATAAATCAAGTTTGTGGTTTGTGTGATGGTAAAGTACGTAGAACCTTCAGGAATATATGCTTTCTTCGTAAGCAAAACTGTGATGTACCAAGTAAATATTTGAATTTCGATCATTATTGTTAGAAGTATCTAATTTATTTTGATTGATGTCTATATTAGCCTGTGTATTTCAATCTAACGGTCCTTGTATTACAACAACTCCTAATCCTTGTGCAAGAAATTGTTCGGACGTTCATAACCCAGTTTGTGCGCATTGTCCCGGCAAACGTATTAATTTCAGAAATATGTGTTATTATAAAAAATGGAATTGCCCTGACCAAGGTGATATGACTTCAAAGATAATTTTTTAGAAAAGTTTGAAAAAATTGTGATTCTTTGAACATTTTTAGGATGTACCGGAGTCACTGTAGGTGTCTGTAATCCCTGTGTAAAACCATGCCCAGCTACTGGAGAACCAGTGTGTGCTAAGTGCAATGGACAGTTAATGTTGTTCGATAATTCATGTAAATATGATATGAAGAATTGTGAATTGAACAATGGTAAGGAATCAGAAATTTCATTTTTCTATATCTAATATAATGTTTAATTTACCCATTTCTCACAACTTTTCATTTTCAGGTTGTTATGTTAAACTTAATATTTTCTGTAAACTCTTAATATAAAATTTTAATAAATTTTACTGATATAAACAAAATAAACCCGGAAAGGAATTATATTTGGACTGCTCTATAATTATTTGATGTTATTTTTTTTATCGACATTGATTATATTTTCGATTAATTTCTTTTATTGGAATTGCAAGGTTTTATAAGAGTCTGGAAATTTTCATAGTTCTCGTTGTTTAGGTACATTTTATGTTTACATGATATTATTTCAAATACCGGAAGGAATGGAGATATGTTGATTTAATCTATTTATATCTATATATTATATATCTGTGGTCTGGCACTATTAATTTATAGTGGTTGCTTACATGTCACATTTTTGTAAAACTATCCATTTCTCCATTGACTTTCTCGAAAGTAGACTCATCAGACCAAAAAACATTTTTTACAAAGTTTGAGAACAAAATTAGACAATATATTTGTCTAAATACTTGTCAGGCAATTGCCAATTACTTGTAATAATTAAGTGTTCTGTCATCTATCTAAGAACGGAAAAGCGTCAAGAAGTTTTTGCTCAATCCAATATATGACAATTTTTGTTATATTAATTAATTTTATTATATTTTGTGTTATGTTAATTTAATCAAAGTGTATAAATTTAACTAAAATTTGGAAAAAATGTCCAATATTCGACTTCCATTATCAAAAACAAAAATTGAATAAATATTTTTCTGAATAACGTACTGGTGCGATATTTTATATAACCTGTAGTTTAAGGAGTTGGTCTGAGTACAAAAAGGTGTCATTTCTCAATAGAACAGAACTGAGGTTATAAATATCATATAGGGGTTGTTAACGGCCATTTCTAGAACAGCATGAAAAATCTGTTTGATGTAACAATATGTCTTCTTTGATAGATACACGATGAGATGTTTGATCACATTCTAATCCAGGAGAAAATTAATAATATGTGAGTTATTGCTTCGTCTGAAATTAGAAATTCCTGCACGAAAGACGTTTATTTTGTTGCAAAAAAAATGTCTTTTATAGTTTTCGTATTCTATTCCACTGGGAGTCCAAATCCTTTTTGTAATCTAATACTTATTCTAAATAACTTTGTACTTGTGATTCCAACAAATCAAGCTTTTAAATATCGTTTGTCATTATATTTTTATTACAGTGGAGGAAATGAAATATAAAGTACTTTTCATAGAATTAACATATTGGTCAAGAACTTGATGGAATGAATCGATGCAGTTATCTCCATCTAACACTCCATACCCCTCTTTTTTTCATTTTAACGCCAGAACTTGAAGCTTCTGTGTCTGATGTAAAATATTTACCTTATTGACCGTAATTATTGGCTGTATAGAAAGTGCATATAAATAATATTCAATATCTTTGCTTTTTCAATACATATCCTTAGAGTCAAATATGAAATATATTATATATATTGTTAGTGTCGAGATATAATCACAATAAAAATTACACTATATCACAGATAAAACATCTTTAAATTAAATATTAAGTAATTATTTTGTATTGTAGATGAGAGAGATTGGTTTAGATGATTAAACTTTGATATATATATAATAATATTCTTTATAATGGAAGACTCTACTTCACTGCTTTACAAAAATTGATACAAATTCAATCACTTACTATAATGGTAGATGAATGGTATAAAAAAATAAAATTTAAATTTCAAGTTTTATCCTTCTAAGATAAAACATTTCAAGAGACTAGCACTTTATCTTAGCAACATTCAAAGAGTTTTTTGACTGCTATCAAAAATTTGTGGGGTTATCATAAGTAAATTAAATAGGTGACCGGTGGCAATGTCTAAAAAATATTTCTTTGTTTTTTATCTTATAGTCTTCAGTTTTTTTCCATATGTGTAATTTGAATAATTTTAAATTATATTGTTGTAATTAATACTAATTTACTTCAATAGCACAATAAATAATAATTTATTTAAAACAAGTAAATAATTAATAATTATAATATATTATGTATAATATATGTAGATACAGGGTATATGTTTCGTAGAAGATACAATAATAATAATATAATATGTATAATATATAGAAGATACAGGGTATATGTTTCGTTAATAATAAATAATCAATTATTTGGTTCAAGACTTAAAAGATATTATAAAGAGAAAGGGATGAAGGATGTTCAATATTGGGCTAGATACACTGCACCCTCAGTCACTGAACATTGACTGAGGAAGAATTATATTTAACGTATTTATTAAAATAATAATAATAATAATATAATATGTATAATATATAGAAGATACAGGGTACATGTTTCGTTAATAATAAATAAACAATTTTTGGTTCAAGACCTAAAAGATATTATAAGGAGAAAGGGATGAAGGATGTTCAATATTGGGCTAGATACACTGCACCCTCAGTTACTGAACATTGACTGAGGAAGAATTATATTTAACGTACTTATTAAAATTCAAATATCTCTAAAACATCTTGTCAAAAATATGTCCTTTATTTTAAAATTTTCATACGAGTATACATCTATTTTTTATTCTTTGTATATCACTCCCTTATTATCCTTAGTAGCATTTCATATGATAGAATTATCTTTCTTATACAAGTAATATATTCTTGTGAAAGATCTCAGAAGAGAGTCTGTTTTTGTTTCTTTTGTTTAAATTCACTTCTACTTTTTAATTAGCATTTAGCGTATTTTTTGCTATTATTAGTAGTATAATCGTATTTGTTATTAATTATTAATTAATATTGTTCGGATTTTTCTCTATTGATGCTGGTGTTGAAATCAGGATTAAGATTAGGATTTGTATTGAGATTAGTAATACACAGAATTGACTAGCAAAATAAATAACAATGTGGAAACAGATTGATCCGTCTTTAAAGATGTTTTGAATGCATGGACCTATATTTGTAGATCGATCACTTTAAATAATTGATGACCATCGAAGACAACTTTAAACAAATTCTTCAAATGTCGTCGATGACATTTTGCGTACACGTGTTGAAGTCTGAATGCGTCCATGTCTTGCACATCATATGCGTTCCATTAAAAACATTGCACTCTTAGAGTAGCTACTAACTTACCATTTTTGTATAATTACTTCTATTTTTTGTGCCCTTAAAAATTCTAATTTTTTCCCTTTAAATAAAGAAGAAAACGAGATCAAATATTTTTTTTTAAAAATCTTTTAAATATTTTTTGAAATGTTTTATTAAAATTAAAATAAATTATTGATATATATATATTAATTTATATATATCTTCTAGTTTTATAAGTATTTAAATTTGATTTTTATTAAATTGCAAAGACACTTAGCATTTCAAAAATAATCTGTGGAGGCATCGAACCAATGACCTTTGGTATAAAAAAATGACCGCTTAGCTGCTGCGTCATTTCTATGTGTTTTTTGTTGTTCTATTTTTGGCCCAAAATACCTGGCACATTAAGAGATATGTATTAAAAATTTTATCTACTGAAATAAAATATGTTGCTATGGGCACTGTTATTAAAGAGAGTACCCATAATAAAAAGTAATTATTTTTGTGATTGTATTGAAGACATAATCTGCAAAGTTGAGTATTCCAACTGGGTAGTTACAGAACCACCAACATCTACTAGTTTCATAACAGTAAGTTCCCAATTAACCTATAGTATCTTACCAGAAATCCCGTAATGATTCTGATTTTTCTTAGTAGCATACAATTATTATTTTATGTTGAATGTCCCTATAAGTGATTTCGATTGTGATGGACCTGGTAGATAATCCGAATATAACTTTCTTTGCTTCTTCGCTTTTTATAAGGGTGAAAAGAATTCACCTCCTCCTAAAACACGGAATAGTTGCAGGTGTAATCTTTTTATAAGAGAGTGTGAAATATTAGGGTTACTTTATTGTTGAATTTTGAGTGTGCCCGGATATTAGTATATATCACTCATTAAACAAATTTCATTATATTAAAATTGCCTAATCTAATACATGTATTTTGAACACATTATATAAAAATAAAACCACACAATTAACTCTTTACAAAACTTGACAGTTAAAAACAAAAAGGTACAGTTTTTAAAAAAGTAATGGGACATCATACTGCGTGCGCCATCTGTGTGATTTTATCTCTAACAATTTACAACTTGCCCCTGTAAATATAAATCTTGATATCCGTTTATATATAATTATTTTGTTGGGACACTAACTGTATTCATGACACTTTATGAATAACACCCAGTATATGATTTATAGAAAGTATTTAAGTGACCCAGTGATCTACAAATTGGGTACAATGATTTCGTTATGATAAGCGCATGATAATCATATCAATGTGAATAAGAAAAAACAAATACAATTCCATTAACTGATTGAAAAATATATAAACGACATTATTTAATTTTTGGGACATTGACTCTAGAGCGCAGATACATTTCAAGTTCTATCGGTTAAAATTCTATATTTCCAAAATGCAAATAATTTATGGTGATATTTACTAACTTGTGATTTTTGAAAAGTAATAACCTGCAGATAAAGGGGCATTGTTAATTTATTTTTATCTGCAATGTATGCACCCATATGATATATAAAAGCGTTGATGAACGTTACAGCAAATCAGTTTCATAATTTATCTGAAATGAGTTGTATTTACAGGATTTGTATAATTTTGATTCTAAATTCCCTGCTTTACACCTACGTTCATACAACAGCGTGTAATCAACAATGCATGACCGAATATAATCCAGTTTGTGCCGATTGTGGAGGAGAATTACGAAGCTTTAGTAATCCTTGTCAATTTCAATTGCGAAATTGTGCTGGGCCAGGTGAAATTCAAAAAAATAATTTTTAAATAAATTCAAATTAAAAAAAAAAACAATAATGTATTTTTGCATTTTAGTTTGTATCTTAAAGAATTATGGCTTATGCGCTACTGTAACAGAGGTCGAAGAGATAGAAGTGGAAGAAGAGGAAGAAATAGATCCAGATGATATCATCGTTATTGATCCATGCGAAAAGCCATGTCCAAACACATTTGCGCCAGTTTGTGAAGAATGTAATGGCATAAGAAATACAATTGGAAATATATGCAAGTATGAAATCAGGGAGTGCCGCTTTAAAGGTAATAATATTTTATGATATTATATAAATAATTAATTATTAATGTAACGTGTTAATATATCATTGAAACTTCTTCATTTTACCTAATATAACAGCAATCAACGCAAAATGTTCACTGATAAGATTAGGGGCTTGTTCTACAGATAAGTGCGAAACTACGTGTCCTGATACTCCTGATCCGTACTGTGCTACATGTAATGGCGTAGAAGAAACCTTTCACAACGAATGTCACTTAAAAAATATCAAATGCAGAAAAGGTGATTTATATTTATTTAAATTATTGTAAATTAATATAAATCGTATAATGTATAATATGTACAATATATTTATAGTATGTACTGACGAAAGGAGGGGTGAGTGTAAAAGTAAGGATGCAATTCTGACACTACCATTGATACGAGATGGAGAGTGTAACCAGAGATGTAACTCATCAATTCATACTCTAGTCTGTGGCGATTGTTTAGGCACAAAAAAAACTTTTATCAATGATTGTGAACTGTTAGCAGAAAATTGTTTATACAAAAACGGTATGTACAATTAGACGATCTTATCTTCAAACACTATTTAAACTTGGTTTATATAGTGTTCAATATCAGAACATAAAATATTATTTTTGCTGATCAAATCTTCAAGTATCTTGATGTTTGAGAATGCTTGTGCTCGAGGACAGCGATTAGTATAAACATATATTCGAGCATATGCGGTTATACGTATATATTTGAATATTGTAATGCTCGAACACTTTAAAGCACTATTAAGTCATAATATATTATTTTAGTTGTCGGAGCTTGCGTCATAAACAACGAAGGGCCTTGTGAATGCGAGAGTAATTGTCCAGTATTTCATGAACCATACTGTGGCGTATGTAATGGCACATTAGTGGAATATCAAAATCAATGCTTTATGGAACAAGATAGATGTAAAAAAAGTAAGTTTAAATATCTAAATAATTAATAATTTGTATAGCAGTAAAGTAATCATTCTACTTTTTATTAAAAGATTGCCTCACATGGGAGGAATGGGAAGGTAAATGTGTGAAACCGTGTGAGCAAACATGTCAAGAGGAAACTAATCCTATATGCGGAAATTGCAATGGAAATATGATAACGTTTCCAAATGAATGTGAATTTAAAAATCAAAACTGCACTGAAGGTAAATAAGAAATTCAAATAAAAAATAAAAAATTGTGCTTTAATTTTTATTATCTGCAGAATGTAAAATAGAACATTATGGTTCCTGTTCTATTATAAGTGAAAATCATACTTCCGGATCGTCCACATCTTCAGCGACATCTCCATCGGCGTCATCATCATCATCATCCTCGTCGTCTTCTTCATCGAATTACACAATTACGGCAACTACGAATAATATAACAACATGGAGCAATTATACCACATACACAAGTACAAACTATACTGCAATAACTATAAGAACCAGCACAAGGATAGCAAAATATAGATATGGCCTATGTATGAGTTATTACCCACTCGAATATGCTCCTATTTGCGTCTTCTGCACTGATCGCCAATATTATCAATTTGATAATGAGTACAGTTTAAATTGCAGAAGTAAAGGTAAAATTAGATTTTCTTGCTAAAAGAGCGATTTAAAAATAATTTTAATTTCAGAATGCGTTGAAGTGGAAGAAGGACACTGTCCTGGCTTTCTGAGTATGTGTGAGGCTCAGTGCTCTATCAGATACAATCCAGTATGCGGAGTTTGTAATGGAAAATTAGAAACATTCAATAGCGCATGTCATTTAGAATGTCATGAACATCGTAAGAACTATAACTCAAAAATCGAATACAAATCTTAAAATTAATTTGTTTATAGGTGGCTGTGAAGAGGTTGAGGGGTTAAAAGGTCCGTGCACAAGTCTACAGAGTTATCAATTACTTCAAACTGTTACCTACAATTCAGTTGAAGAATGTATTAGGTATTGTGATCCAATGGAAAGAGAAGTTATAGCAGTATGTACCTTATGTACAAATGGCCAGTTTAGGTTTTTCGCAGATTCATGCGAATTCGATTGTCATGCGCATGGTAAGAATAATAACAATGCTGACTTTCAAGTTTTTGATATATTAATAAATTTTCAGAATGCTTCGAGACATTTGAAGAAAATTGTGAACAAACATTAAAATTATGTGAAAGTCAGTGTCTACCAAATAAAAGTCCCGTTTGTGCAATTTGCAATGGAGTGGCCGAAACATATGATAATAGATGTTTAGTAGAGGAATGTAGACAGGATAGTAAGTTAATTGTTTGATGATTATTTGATTAAATCTATTTAAACTTATTACTTGCAGCATGTACTCCACCAACAGACGGAGCTTGTACAGAATCCATTATAGCAGCAAGCTTGCCTCCATTTACATGTACTGATATCTGCTCAAATGATTATGAGCCTATCTGCTCAATGTGTTCAAATGGTAGAATTGAGATACAGCAAAGTCAATGTCATTTGACTTGCATGAATTTAGGTAAAACTATTGAATAGGATAAAGGAAATAGGTATTTAAGTAAAGGCCAACTATATTTGATAATTTCAGATTGTGTTCCGATACCAAAAGATAATTGTCCTGAATTGTTAAATGGATGTGTGAGGAATTGTTCCGAAAGCCATGTGATTCAATATGATCCAATATGCGCATCTTGTAATGGAAAACTCGAACTTATTGAGAATTCTTGTATCCTTAACTGCCGAGAAGGAAGTAAGAATTAAAATAGTCTTTATTAATTTTATTTATTTTCAAATGTATTTTCTTAGCATGCACGTCTTTAAATAGTAATACATGTTCCGGACTGCAACCAATTGAAACTGATTTTAATAGTTGTATATCAAAATGCTCAGCAGCAACTGGCGCGGTATGCGGTATGAGAAGAGATGGTACCTTTAAAGTTTTTGAAAACTTATGTCAACTCGACTGTGATGCAGGTAAATTATGCTTATTATGTTTTCTTTTCTTCATGTCAATAAAAAATGTTCAATCTCATTCTCAGATTATTATATCACATCCAAAGAAAATTGTCCAAGGGTATTAGATGAATGCTCTGTTCTTTGTTCAATGGATAAGAGTCCAGTGTGTGGAATGCGTAATAATCAACTGGAAACATTTGATAACGAATGCATTTATGATTGTCACAAAGAGAGTAAGAATACCAAACATCTATTTAGGCTGATATATTAGATGTATATTTTTAGGTTACATTTTCATTTCCAATGGAGCATGTTCGGACTTATATGCCACTTCAACAACTTCAGCGTTATCAACAAATGCATGTATTAAAACTTGCACACATGATTATGAATATATCTGTGCCTTACGTAATGATGGTAGTCGTATGGTATATAAAAATAAATGCATACTCGATTGTAACGCTGACGGTAAGCTGATCTCATATAACTTAATTTAATAGAAACATAAATATAATTAAAAATTCATCTTAGGATATGTTGTGCAACCAAAAGAGATGTGTAGAGATATTTTAATTAATTTACAGTCAGAGTGTCCACAAGAATACGTTCCAGCATGCGGAGATTGCTATGGGTACAGAAAAACCTTCTACCATAGGTGTATTTTGGAAACTCAGATACCAAGTAAGACTGAAATAGTTGCTTGTTATATAAAATATAATATGATAAATCGTTAATTCGTTTTGATTTTCAGCATGCACGTTTATATCGTATGGAACTTGTGACAATATGATACCGACACACGTTAGCGGTCCACAATCGAATGCTACAACCGGAGTGACATATACAACTACAACAACTACGAATAATAATACAACATGGAGTAACTATACTTCATATACCAGCACAAATTATACCGCAATAACTACAAGAACCAGCACTAGAATAGCAAAATATAGATTTGATCAGTGCACAAGTATTTACTCATACCAATATGATCCTATCTGTGCCCTCTGCACTGATCGTCAATATTATAAATTTGATAATGACTACGGATTTAATTGCAGAAGTAGAGGTATATTTTGACTCTCTTGCTAATAATAAAGTTACAAATTATCCAAAATTTACCTTTTAGAATGCGTTGAAGTGGAAGAAGGATACTGTCCAGAATTTCTGAATTTATGTGAGTCGCAGTGCTCTAACGTGTATGAACCAGCATGCGGAAATTGTAGGGGTCAATTAGAAACGTTCGATAGCATATGCCATTTAGATTGCCATGAGCATCGTAAGAATGAAATCATAATTTAAAATGGAATATAACATTTAACATTTATATATGTTTAAAGGTGGCTGCGAGATGGTTCCGAATTCGAAAGGTGCATGTACAAGTATTCATGGTCTTCAAATTGAAAGTTATCCATCAGTTAACGATTGCATTAAAAATTGTTCTCAAAATCCAAAAGATATTATATCAGTTTGTACTCTATGTACAGATGGTCAATATAAGTTTTTCGACGATAAATGCGAATTTGAGTGTCACGCACATGGTAAGATGATAAATAATTTCACTTAAGCTTTTATTATAATAAATGACTACCGTTTCAGAGTGTTTTGAGACATTTGAAGAAAATTGTGAACAAACATTAAAATTATGTGAAAGTCAGTGTCTACCAAATAAAATCCCAGTTTGTGCAATTTGCAACGGTGTTCCCGAAACATATGACAATAGATGCCTAGTAGAAGAATGTAGACAGAATAGTAAGTTAATTGTTCGATGATTATTTTATTAAATAAATTAAAACTTGTTACTTGCAGCATGTAATCCACCAACAGATGGTGTTTGTACAGAATCCGTTATAGCAGCAAGCTTGCCTCCATTTACATGTACTGATATCTGCTCAAATGATTATGAGCCTATCTGCTCAATGTGTTCAAATGGTAGAATTGAGATACAGCAAAGTCAATGTCATTTAACTTGCATGAATTCAGGTAAAACTATTGAATAGGATAAAGGAAATAGGTATTTAATTAAAGGCCAACTATATTTGATAATTTCAGATTGTGTTCCGATACCAAAAGATAATTGTCCTGAATTGTTAAACGGATGTGTGAGGAATTGTACCGAAAGCCATGTGATTCAATATGATCCAATATGCGCATCTTGTAATGGAAAACTTGAACTAATTGAGAACCCTTGTATCCTTAACTGCCGAGAAGGAAGTAAGAATTAAAATAGTCTTTATTAATTTTATTTATTTTCAAATGTATTTTCTTAGCGTGCACGTCTTTAAATAGTAATACATGTACCGGATTGCAACCAATTGAAACTGATTTTAATAGTTGTATATCAAAATGCTCAGCAGCAACTGGCGCGGTATGCGGTATGGGAAGAGATGGTACCTTTAAAGTTTTTGAAAACTTATGTCAACTCGACTGTGATGCAGGTAAATTATGCTTATTATGTTTTCTTTTCTTCATGTCAATAAAAAATGTTCAATCTCATTCTCAGATTATTATATCATATCCAAAGAAAATTGTCCAAAGGTATTAGATGAATGCTCTGTTCTTTGTTCAATGGATAAGAGTCCAGTGTGTGGAATGCGTAATAATCAACTGGAAACATTTGATAACGAATGCATTTATGATTGTCACAAAGAGAGTAAGAATACCAAACATCTATTTAGGCTGATATATTAGATGTATATTTTTAGGTTACATTTTCATTTCCAATGGAGCATGTTCGGACTTATATGCCACTTCAACAACTTCAGCGTTATCAACAAATGCATGTATTAAAACTTGCACACATGATTATGAATATATCTGTGCCTTACGTAATGATGGTAGTCGTATGGTATATAAAAATAAATGCATATTCGATTGTTACGCTGACGGTAAGCTGATCTCATATAACTTAATTTAATAGAAACATAAATATAATGACAAATTCATCTTAGTACATGTTATGCAACCGAAAGAGATGTGTGGAGATCTTTTACCTAATTTGGAATCGGAGTGTCCACAAGAATTTGTACCAGCATGCGGAGATTGCAATGGTGACAGAAAAACCTTCAACCATAGGTGTAATTTGGAATGTCAGATACCACGTAAGACTGAAATAGTTGCTTGTTATATAAAATATAATATGATAAATCTTTAATTCCTTTTGATTTTCAGCATGCACGTTTATATCGTATGGAACTTGTGACAATATGATACCGACACACGTTAGCGGTCCACAATCGAATGCTACAACCGGAGTGACATATACAACTACAACAACTACGAATAATAATACAACATGGAGTAACTATACTTCATATACCAGCACAAATTATACCGCAATAACTACAAGAACCAGCACTAGAATAGCAAAATATAGATTTGATCAGTGCACAAGTATTTACTCATATCAATATGATCCTATCTGTGCCCTCTGTACTGATCGTCAATATTATAAATTTGATAATGACTACGGATTTAATTGCAGAAGTAGAGGTATATTTTGACTCTCTTGCTAATAATAAAATAGAAAATTATGCAAAATGTAACTTTTAGAATGCGTTGAAGTGGAAGAAGGATACTGTCCAGAAATTCTGAGTTTATGTGAGTCGCAGTGTTCTAACGTATATGAACCAGCATGCGGAAATTGTAGGGGACAATTAGAAACGTTCGATAGCATATGCCATTTAGATTGCCATGAGCATCGTAAGAATGAAATCATAATTTAAAATGGAATATAACATTTAACATTTATATATGTTTAAAGGTGGCTGCGAGATGGTTCCGAATTCGAAAGGTGCATGTACAAGTCTTCACGGTCTTCAAATTGAAAGTTATCCATCAGTTAACGATTGCATTAAAAATTGTTCTCAAAATCCAAAAGATATTATATCAGTTTGTACTTTATGTACAGATGGCCAATATAAGTTTTTCGACGACAGATGCGAATTTGAGTGTCACGCACATGGTAAGATGATAAATAATTTCACTTAAGCTTTTATTATAATAAATGACTACCGTTTCAGAGTGTTTTGAGACATTTGAAGAAAATTGTGAACAAACATTAAAATTATGTGAAAGTCAGTGTCTACCAAATAAAATCCCAGTTTGTGCAATTTGCAACGGTGTTCCCGAAACATATGATAATAGATGTCTAGTAGAAGAATGTAGACAGAATAGTAAGTTAATTGTTCGATGATTATTTGATTAAATAAATTAAAACTTGTTACTTGCAGCATGTAATCCACCAACAGATGGTGTTTGTACAGAATCCGTTATAGCAGCAAGCTTGCCGCCATTTACATGTACGGATATCTGCTCAAATGATTATGAGCCTATCTGTTCAATGTGTTCAAATGGTAGAATTGAGATACAGCAAAGTCAATGTCATTTAACTTGCATGAATTTAGGTAAAATTCTTGAATAGGATAAAGGAAATAGGTATTTAATTAAAGGCCAACTATATTTGATAATTTCAGATTGTGTTCCGATACCAAAAGATAATTGTCCTGAATTGTTAAACGGATGTGTGAGGAATTGTACCGAAAGCCATGTGATTCAATATGATCCAATATGCGCATCTTGTAATGGAAAACTTGAACTAATTGAGAACCCTTGTATCCTTAACTGCCGAGAAGGAAGTAAGAATTAAAATAGTCTTTATTAATTTTATTTATTTTCAAATGTATTTTCTTAGCGTGCACGTCTTTAAATAGTAATACATGTACTGGATTGCAACCAATTGAAACTGATTTTAATAGTTGTATATCAAAATGCTCAGCAGCAACTGGCGCGGTATGCGGTATGGGAAGAGATGGTACCTTTAAAGTTTTTGAAAACTTATGTCAACTCGACTGTGATGCAGGTAAATTATGCTTATTATGTTTTCTCTTCTTCATGTCAATAAAAAATGTTCAATCTCATTCTCAGATTATTATATCACATCCAAAGAAAATTGTCCAAAGGTATTAGATGAATGCTCTGTTCTTTGTTCAATGGATAAGAGTCCAGTGTGTGGAATGCGTAATAATCAACTGGAAACATTTGATAACGAATGCATTTATGATTGTCACAAAGAGAGTAAGAATACCAAACATCTATTTAGGCTGATATATTAGATGTATATTTTTAGGTTACATTTTCATTTCCAATGGAGCATGTTCGGACTTATATGCCACTTCAACAACTTCAGCGTTATCAACAAATGCATGTATTAAAACTTGCACACATGATTATGAATATATCTGTGCCTTACGTAATGATGGTAGTCGTATGGTATATAAAAATAAATGCATATTCGA